GCTTCTGCTCCCACCGTCTCCCCAGCCTCAGCTTCCCCCACCAAAGCCTCTCTCTGTTTTATCAGCAGCGCAGGATTCCCATCGCTCGGCCTTGAGCTGCTCTTCTCCTTACCTGCCCCCTCCGCTTTGCCCCACTGCTGAGGCACCGGGACAAAAGTTCACAGGGCACGGAAAAGCAAAAGGCTAGGAAATTTAATAACAAAAGTTATAAAAGGATATTAAAAAAAAAGATCGAGCAGCGAGCCTCTTGTATGAGAGGGCTCAGCAGTGCTCGCTGGCACGTGAGAAGGGGAGAAGTGGCCAGACTTCGGGGCCAGAAACCTGCTGGATGAAGAAGAAAGGACACAGGCAAGCAGACAACTTCCAGCCGCGCAGGATGACCCAGCTGGCAGATGTTTCCTTGCTCCCCTGGAAGTCTGAGGTGTGGGGCTGCCCCCTCTGTTTCTCCCGTCTCCGAGGAGACTCCCTATTTTCTGCTTCTACTTCAGATCCATGAAGCGAATGTCCATGATGAGGAGGAAGTTCTTGGGCAGCGGGCGAGGGGCAGGCGACAGCACGGTGAAGACCTGGCGCTCCAGGTCCACGCCGGTGACCACGATGAAGCCGGCCACGCTCGTCTCCGAGATGTTGTCGTCGGGGCTGTCGGCCATGCTGACGCTCAGCAGGTGGTGCACCATGTCCCGCCCCGGCGTCACCGGCACCAGCTTGAGCTGGTTGTCCTCCTGCGACATGCCCAGGGGGAGGCAGGAGTCCGGGATGGTGGGAGCCCCCACCTTGTAGATCTTGACGTCAGAGAACTTGACGTCAAAGGCGTGGGGGTAGAAGCAACCCCGGAAGCTGTAGAAATACTCCCTGATGCGGTCGTCTCGGCACTCCCGCCGGAAGTCCTTGGAGCGCTCCACCACCCCACCGGATTTGGGGAGCAGCACCGTGCGCACAAAGTGGGGCAGGTCCCTCTTCAGCTCGTTGTAGAGCCGCTCTTGGTCCAGCACCACCACCACGTCCACCTCGAAGGCAGAGGCGGCGTGCACCAGCGCCTGGTACCCCGAGCCCTTCACCCAGCCGCACGTGTTGATGACGCAGCCGCTTACCGACGCTCGGCGGTTCACTTCACACCGCTGGTTGAAGACGTCTGCCAGGCGGGATGTGATCTGTGAGGAAGAAAGGGCAGAAATATTAGGACAGAGAGATCTCTTCGGGCACGCCAGGAGCTGAATCCCCCTTCCACCTGTACCCCCTTCTCAGGGCTGCTGCCATTAGGAGCCCCGGAGCAGACAAGATGGCAACACCTTCTCTGGCAGAGGAGGAACAGGGAGGAGACGGGATCCGTTGCTGCTCTGCACTCTGACCCCTCCACGCTTTCCCCAGCTGGGCTACCACAGTATTTCAGCATCCCAGATATCTCCCCTGCTGTGCTTACGCTTGCCGCCTCCTTTGAGATCCTCAAAGCCACAGCACGTGAGTAGGACCACATTGGTCCTGACTGGGTAAAAGGCTCAGGGGAGCAACTGAGAAGCTTCTATCCCCAAACAGCAAGAGACATTGGCAATGACAGACACTTTTTTTTTTTTTTTTTAGGAGGACATGTGAGCCTGGTCACCTTCTGCAGTCCATTTCTACCCAGCTCCCCATGCAGCTGTAGGGATGGTAGAAAGTACATCTCTGCCCACCCTTTTTCACATCTATTTATGGGCCTGCTGTCCACGAATGCATTAAGTCCCTCTTGACCCCGCCGATTCTGTCTGCCTCCGCAGCCTGCTGTGACAGCTGTGTACAGAAGAGCTTGTTTTTATTTGCTCTAAACCAATTTCCAGCTGGTTTCATCGGACGTCCCATATTTCCTCTGTTGCAAGCTGCGGTGACTAACAGTTCCCCGTTTGGCTCACCTAGCAGCTGTACGATTTTGTAAACCCGTCAGACTCCCTCAGCCCTCTCCTCTCTGGACTGAAAGGCTGCGGCCTTCTTAGGCTCTCCTAACACAGCTACTCCATCCCCTTGATACAGTTACGCCTCTCTGCACCTTCTCAAACTTCACAACGTCTTTCTTGAGCAGGAGCGCCCGGAAGCAGGCACGACACTGAAGCGCACCATGGTTTTACGTAGCAGCAAAACAGATCAGAGTCTCCCAGAATAAGTAAGGCGGAAGGGAGCTCTAGCCCTAGCCCTAGCCCTGCCCCAAACAGGGCTGACTACCAAGCCAGATCAGGTTGCTCAGGGTTTAACCTGCAAAAGCCTCCAAAAGCGGTGCAGCCCCGTGCCCGGGCCCTACCGCAGGGCTGCACCGTTCCCAGACCCGCCCCGGGCCCCCCCCCCCATACTCACCTTATTGTACAGCTTGATGTTGGTGCCAGGCGTGGTGGAGCCGAAGTGATAAACCAGCGGGGCCTGCAGGGAGAAGCCCTCCTCCACGTCGGCAGGGCGCTCAATGTAGAGGGCCCCCATGGTGCCGGGGATGGAGACGGAGCCCTGGCCCACGTCCAGCTCCACAAAGGTGGGCCGGCGCCCCAGGCGCACGGCGTAGTTCAGCAGCAGGCGGCACACGGTCGACTTGCCCACGTCCGTGGGGCCCACCACCATGACGCGGGGCCCCCGCTCGTCCTCGCGCTCCGCCTGCCGGCGCATCCGCCCC